TCTTCCTTCGGCCATCAGTTCAAATTTAAAACTATGTAAGTTATTATGTTTGTTTAATGAATGTGTTAAAAAAAAAATAGAGCAATTCATTCAGAATTTCTATTTTTAACTAAACTTTAATGCCTCCGTTTATTTTATTTAACTTTGTTGACCTTAATCTTCCGTACTTAAAATGAACTTAACTTTTTAAACGTCTGTTTTAGCTAAACCCATAAATTTTGTAATTTAAGTATTTACTCTTTAACAGCATATTTTTTCTTTAGTTTCTGTTTCCAAAAGACAATCGCTTCTAATTCATTTTCCTCTCATTTTATTAAACTAAATTATTCTTTGATCTAGTTTAATCAACTGTAAATTGTTGATCTTAAAACGTATTCATCGAGCAAATGTTCAAAAACGATGGCACTTTTCTTTTCAATGTTTATTGAAAGTTTAGACCCTCATACATCCAAGTATAAATTATAAATAAATTTTTTATAAACTTATAAAATAGTAAACTTTATAGTAAACAACATTCAGTCAAATTGGGTAATTACAAAGTTGTTTTGTAAGTTTTATCTATCTATAAAGTTTTTATAAGACCAGATATTTTTTTAAATTGATTTACTATATAGAACATTTAATTTTAAGTTGTTAAATTAACTGTGTAAATATCACCATTTAAACAACTTTCAATGCCAATTATATGTTTTAAATGCTCAATAGTTTTTTTTAATTTAATAGTAAAAATCAAGTCAGAACAAAATGACTATCAGAATTTAATGTTTATATTTAGCATTTGTATTATATAAATATTCTCAACAAATTTATAATTTGTAAATATAAGATAGAGTTAACTTACAAAAACTTACATAAATTTTTTCTCGACGATCTATGATTTGAAAAAAAAAACATTAAGTCCCAAAGTTTGAAGTTGTTATACAATTTATTCTGCAAATTACACACATTTTAAGTTTTTTACTAAATTTTTTTTTAGCATCAATTTCATATTTAGATTGTAAAAATAATTTTAACTTAATTACTTAAATGACGGAAATGTTAACAAACTAATTTAATATTTAATATTTTTATAATATACACCAATTAATATTTTTCTTATATACACCAAAGTATAACACAAAACATAAATAAAAGAAATAAATTTTACTTTTTAAAAAAATATAATAAGTATGCATGCTTATATAAAGAACATAAAAAGGTACTAAGAAAAAATCTTTATTATAATTAAATTTTACTAAGGTAAAATATAATTATAATAAAGATTTTGATTTTATTTGATTTTAAAGAGTTATACTATATATTTAAGCAAGAAATTGACAAACATTTTCTGACATGTAGCATCAAAAATGAATCATAAAAGTAAAATGTCCCAACCACAAAATACAACTTTAATGCTCAGTTACTTGAAGTCAAAATATGATAATGAGATTAAAAAAATTCAGTAAAACAAAAAACCATAAAAAAGTAAAAGTTAATCTTTTTTAAGTAAGCAGAACAGAATAAAAACTGTAAAAAGTTGTAAATCAACTTTTACTAACTAAAGTTAAATAATTAAGAAAAGATCGCCTTTTTTTTTTGTCTGTTATTACTTATCTTTAATAAAATCCGTTAAAAAGATAGCAAGTATTTTGAAAACTTCAATATTTATTTAAAGCTCTATACTTTGACAATATTTTTTACTTAACACCATTTTTTTTATTTAAACAATAATCTTAAAAAATCTGCAATTGAAATTATTAAGTTCAGAAGGAGTACAAAAGCATACTTACGCTGTTTATTGCAGTTTTTATGCTTTCATAAAATAAGTTTCAAAAAACTTGTCTTTGTATTTAAATAATTAATTATGAAGTTTAAAACTTTAAAATTTGAAAGCTGAAATTGAAAATGTTTTAAATAAACTTTTACAAACTTTAGTTTCAAAAACCTTAATATGTGGTATGAGTTAATAGATAAATCATGTATTGTTTATCATTAGGCCTGTGCATAACAAACATCCAAAGTGTAAGTCATTTTATTGTAGGCTCTCAGACGTTTACTGATGGAACATTTTATAACTAATTTGTATATTAGGCCAATAAATCGGCCTAATATACAATATAAGTTATTAAATGTGGTCAATATTAAAACCTGGTCAATATATTGACCAGGTGAAGTGAAATGAGGCTAATCTTATGCTGAAATAAAAGATGTCGGCAAGACAACTGGACAACACCCAAATATTATCTAAGAAGCACTTACTCTAGAGTCTAACTTTTTTTTTTTTTAATTTAGATTCTTCATGAGTTGGCCAGTAACGGAGCAAAACATTCAATTATAGCAACATTTCTCAATACTAGCTGCTCCTCTGGTATATACACTATTGAAGTTCCAATGAAGTTGTCTTTTAAAAATTCATATGGAAATTCTTGGTCATTATATCAAACGGTCAAAAAAAGTATATCCGAAAACTGTAAAGGATTTATTTCACCTCAAAAACACATTCAAAGTAATCATCAAACAGGTGTGTTCCCATTTTTCTATTTTAATATAACTTATTTTATTCAAAAAATAATAATTGTTCCAAAATTTAACGAATTATTTTTTTTGTTTTATAATAGTTATATGTTTATAGGAGATTTAATTGCTCTAGATATATAATTGATATTTTAAAATTGTTGTAAATAAAGTTTATTGAAATGATATCTTATGGCATCAAGGGACGTTTAGAAAAAAAGTGTTATAGTAGACTGTAAATAAAACATTAAATAATTAATATTACTTTTTGTGAGTTTCATACTGTGTTTTAAATAGGTTTTTATCCATAAACGCGTAAAAGATGTTTTAACTTTTTTTTTTCGTTGGGCGGATAACGGTAATAGTTATCAATAATTTGATATACATGAATATGTATAAATTGCTATGTGTATGTATAATTATAATTATGTATAATATTTAAAATAACATATGTATAAGTATAGTATGAAATAGTTTGAAAACATAAACTTTTAATTCTATTTGTATTGCAACAGATTTATTTATTTCTAATTAATTAAATTTTACGTTAAACATAGAAGCTCTCTATTCAAGCAGCACACTCCGTTAAGTCAACATTAAAACAACCTTAAAACGGTTAGCCTATTAAGCCTGACTTAACGATTTTCACTGCCCTAACATTAAATAAAAAATTTCAACGTTGTGTTGACGTTGACCTACAAAGTTATGCTGCTTGATAAAAAGCATTGAAAAAAAAATTAATTATTATTTAAAAATTAATAATTTAGTTGCTATATCAATAGAATTGAAGATTTTAACACTCATATATATTAAACTATTAGTTATTTTTTTTGGGCTAATTGTGTAGTCGTATTACAATAAATTTTTTATGAACTGCGTATGTTTATCAATGTCTAAAATAATTATAATAAAATTTGAAACAACTAAAACTTTAAACAGTTACAACGCTATATTATTTTTAATTGTTGCAAAATGTTTCTGCCAATACTTGAAATAAAAAAAAACCCGTTGAAAAACCATTTAAGCGAAACAATCAGTAACTGTAAATCGTTAACTAATTATTGAGTATATAGAAACTGAACCAGCCTAATTGATATGTATGGGAATAATAACAGAAAATAATAACAAATATTTTAAAAATCCTAAGTTTGTTTGGAACGTCATGATATTAGTTTCCATGAGGTTGCAACTAGCAAGTATAAAACCCTGCAATTAAAATTAGAATTCATAATATTATTCAATGATCACTAAATTGATTTACGATAGCTGGTGATCCGTAATGTACCAACCATTGAAAATAATTATGTAATACCATAACACTGTTCATGAACTGCTTTTTTTTGTTCTTGATTAAAAAACTTTGATAATTTTGCATACAACTTTTGAGCTAAAGCAAAAGTGTAAAAAAAAGCTATTGAAGATTTTTAATATCATTGCCGAGAAACGCCGTAAAGTGACGTGTTACATATTTACATGTTAAATATTTCACGCAGTAAATAAAAAAATTATTGATTTTTAATTATTAAAGAACAACAAGGTTTTAATAAAAAAATTAAAAAAATTTACGAGAAAATATTTTAATGATAATTAGACAGATAAATTAATAGCAATATAGGCCAGAAGATTGCAAGTAATTAACTTACAAATCATATCAAGAATAATAAGATTTAAATAAAAAATTAAAAAAATTACCTAAAATGTTTTAAAGATAACATAGACAGATAAAACGAAAGCATTATAGGCTTGCCGATAGTAAATAATTAAATAAAAAATCATACCAACTGATTACTCAAACCATATATGCTGATATAAACAATAGATTAAAAGAATTTGAAAAGTTTTAAAAGTACTTTTGTTTCTCTTTCAATTTTCTTCAATTTTCAGTTCTTTCCACTTTTTTTAAAAAAAATATTTCCCAGTAGACACGGCAACGTCAATATAACATCAAAAAGACGTCTTTTTAGGATGTTCGAAACTGGTTCCTAATGGCAATGGCAGATGACGTCTTTTTAGGACGTAATTAGAACGTCTTTTTCGGAAGGAACAAAGGCGTTTTTTTCAGACGTCTAAAGACGTGAAAATAGGACGTTCAGAACTAGTGCTATATAGAAACGCTAAATGACGTCTTTAATTAACCTAACTTAAGCGTCCTCACATCAACGTCTAAAATACGTGGTTTTACACGGCTTTACACGAACGTAAGGTTAAAATTTAAGTTTTCGCAGAATTTCTTGAGAATTAAAATAAAATAATAATTTGCTTAAACTTTTAAGTAATATAATTGTTGAGTTTGTTTAACTATCTTATAGCCTGCTGCTACAAGGGAGTGCTGCTACATCAACTATCTTATGGCCTGCTGCTAAAAGGAAGTGCTGCTACATCAACTGAGGGTTTGGCATGGGGAAGCAATCTTTTTTCTTTTATTGTTTCAAATAACATTTTAATGGTTTAAAAAACCTTCAATGACGAGAGCGTAAATAGCAAAAACTTAAATTAATTTAGTTGCTTTTATATATATATATTAATATATATATATTAATATATATATATATATATATATATATGTATATATATATACATATATATATACATATATATATATATATATATATATATATATATATATATATATATATATATATATATATATATATATATATATATATATATATATATATATATATATATATATATATATATATATATATATATATATATATATATATATATATATATATATATATATATATATATATATATATATATATATTAGGGTGATTCATATTTGACGAATTTTCGAAAATCAAGTTGGTCCTACCTGGAATGGTTGACTACCAATATAAAAATAATTTTAAGCCCAAAAATTTTAATATCACGTGACTTTAAAGGTCCCCGCCGGTCAAATTTGTGTACAAAAACGTATCAAACTTTAGGGGTCTGGCGGGGACCTTTAAAATCAACTCAGAAAGCCAACTTTTCTTTTATATGGCATATTTTGAACTATTTATTTATAATAGAGTAGGACCAAAATGAAATATGGTGGTATTTATTCCACATAGTGTGGAGAAAGTGACGAAAAAAACGAATTTTTACATAAAATGACGCACCACTTTGTATAACTGACGCTTGTTTATTCTTCATATTTAGGCCGAATTTTAAAAATTAATGTTAGGACTTAGCATTAATATTGTTTATATAGAAGGGGCATGTCAATAGCTATCCGCCCCCCTCACCCTATTTTCATAGATGTCTCCGAAAATAGGGTGAGGGGAGGGGGGCAAGCAAATTTATTTAAATTTTATTGTAAATCATATTATTTAAAATCACTTTTTTTTCTTTAGAAAAAAAGACAATATAAATATTAAATTATGATAACATTTTGATGCCTGAATATTTTGGAATTTTTATTAGTTTCCGTGGTAATTTTATAAACTAACAAATTGTCGTATTTGTGGAAGACATATTGTCGTAATTTTAAATTCTCTGCTCTGTGTTCTGTGTATCTGGTGTATCCATAACATTCTATAAAAGGTATACTATCTGCGGTTATATACAAAATTGTTATTGTAAAATACATGTCATTTAATCAAAGAATGAATATGAATTGTTTTCTTTAATCAAATTACTGTTTAGAAACCAAGATGCCAAGATCAACAAGACTTAAAACAAAGACTTATCTTTTTGAAGAAGAGGATCTTATAGAAAACCTACCAGAAATAATGTTTTCAACAAATAAAGACATTATTCTCTACTTTCAGTTTAGAAGATCTGGAGACAAAATAACTCCAACAAAAAAGCGGATTGCTTGTACCATTGGTCATCAAACAGCAAAGTGTTCTGGTCTTGGTAGCTGTCCTGAAAACTGCATTATGTTTGCAGTTAAGAAACCTTGGATAGACGGAGGATACGAGGATGGGATACTCACTGACCCATTTATAAGGTAGGTTAAACAAAATTTAATTCATATTTAATGGACAGGTTACCATAAAATACACTACAAAAGTTTTGGATAATATAATATTTTCTAAACCAGTTATATATTATTATAGGAAGCATATCACTGATCTGATCAACAGCTGGGAGAGTTTAAAGAAAAGTAAGTGTAAGAACTCGAAAGAAGCAGGAAAAGCTAGACAAGATTTCAAAAAAAAAGGAAATAAGGTTTTCTGGATTGCTAAACCAAATATCCAAGATATTGTAAAGAAGACAAGCCTTAATAAGGTCTCGTATCGTACTGATATGAAATTTTTGAGAGATCAAAAGGCCAGACGTAAAATGACTCTGGGTAAAAAAGACAAGCTATATAACCGGAGGGTTGAGAAGAGAGAACAGAGAAGATTGAAACATCCACAGTTAGTACATAGTGTTGAACAGTTTTCTCAGAGAGATGATTTGACTACAGAGCTTCAGTTTTCTTATGAAACTAGTGATACAAGTACCAGCATGGACTCAGATTGTTCTTTTGATTTCGAACAGCCAGGTCCAAGTAATGATACGTCGCAGTTAGCCAAGAATTTTGTACAAGATATTGCCATGACTTCAGTTTCCAAAAATATTTCCTCTAGAGATTTGTTGCATGTGTGTACAGATTTGGTTGTTAATTCAGGTGGAAATGTTGAAAAATTTTTACTGTCTCAATCAACTATTTGGCGAGCACAAAAGAAAACCATCCATCAAAATGCTGCATAGCACAAAAGGAAGGTTAAAAAAGCTGCTGAGAAAGCACTTTTTCCCATAATAGCTCACTTTGATGGAAAAATTATAGAAGATTTCACTAATGGGAAAAAAGAAAAAAGAGACAGGTTTGTTGTTTCAGTTAATATTGATGGAGACATTAGGCTTCTTGGAATTCCAGCTATGGAGCATGGAACTGGAGCTGCTTAGTATGAAGCTTTGAATAATGTACTGGAAGATTATAGAATATGTGACGATGTGAAGGGATTATGTTTTGACACAACTGCCTCAAATACTGGAAGACATTCAGGAACCAATACTAGGTTCAGTGAA